AATCTTAGCCATGAAATATTTTGTAATCAGTCATTTTTACTTAGACTATGATTTTGCTATGGAAGGAGCTTGGAATATAAGTGAAATTTAAAGAATCTTATGAGATTCCAGAAAATTTTCACTTTTCTTCTAAGCAATACAATGTTTAATTTTGCCAATGTATATTTCTCAAAAATATTTATTATTTATTAAGATGTTTAGAGATCTTAGCTATTTAATGTTAGGTATTATTAGTTATCAAGTTAGATTATAAGGGTTTAATATTAATTTACTTTTAGTATGAATATTTGCCAGGACACTTTATCCTGCACCTAGTTTGTATTCACCCATAAGCAGAAATACTATAATTAAAATTAAGCTCTATTTACTATATTATGTATTGGGATGATCATCCAGAGAAAAATAGCTAATAGGACACACACACACACACACACACACACACACACACACGTATATATACACAGATATATGAGGAGACTTATTATGGGAGTTGGCATAATGTTATGGGACCTAAGAAGCCTCTTTATATACTGTGTGCATCCTGGAGAATCAGGAAATCCAGGGTAATTCAGTAAAAAATCCAATTCTCTGAGAAGTAAGGAATCCAATGTTAGAACTCACAGTCCAAGACCAATGGCCTAAGCAAAGGCTCAGTAGAGGAAGGAATTCCATTGCTTTCTTGGAGCCTGTAGGCCCAAGAACCAGAATCTCCAATGTCCAGAAGCAGAAGATGATCATCCCAGATCAATACAGATAGTTTGAAATTCCTCCCATTTTTGTTCAATTTGGGCCCTCAATAGATTGACTGATGCCCACCAATATTAGAAAGGGTGGATATTCTTTACTCAGTCTACTGATTCCAGTGCTAATCTCTTCAAGACACACCCTCAGAGACAGACACAGAAATGATGGTTCACCAGCCATAGGGGTATTCCCTAACCAAATTAAGCACATACATAAAGCTAACCATCAAAGTACATCTCTGGCAAGACACTTTGCTAACTAACATACAGGGTGAAATTTGAATATGGAGTACATATGGCACTGGGAAAAGCTATAGTCTAGTGAAAATATGCATGGCACTGGGAGCAAGGATTATGAAAAATAATCTGGAGAGTAGGTTATGAACCACTGAGCTGCCAGAAATATTCACATGTGAAAACACACAATGGAATGAAAATGAATGTCTAAAGTTTAGAAGAAAGAGCAGAGAGCCAGAAAACTGCAACAGAACCATTGAGATAGATAATTATTAGAGCAATAAAATTGGATAATATCACCAGAAAGATGTTTGGGAAAACATTTTTTGAAAGATAGAAAAAGAAAATATGAACATATTTTCCAATTGTAAGAAAGCAGTCAGAGAAAAGATAGGGAAATCAATGATGCTAGTGTCTTAGAGGTCAAGTGAAGATATAACTTGTAATTGTAGCAAATTCTAAAATTCTGGAGAAAAATTGAAGAAGACAGTGATTGAGAAGAAAGCAATGGATTTAGCAATAAAGAAATCAGAGGTATGCTTTTATATATCAAGAATATAAATACACAGTAAATGCAATACCATATTTCTTAAAACTTTACTTAACACTAGATGATCAGTTTATATACACATATATATATATAACTAACATCAATTTATATAAGCAATATGCCGATATTGTGAGGTCTGGCCTCTTTTCTGTGAGCAGAAGGAGAAGTACTGTATTAGACACCTTATTTTGTAAATTAAAAAAATAAAATCTATAACTCCAGTGAAGGATTGGAGTGTGACATTATGATTGAATATTTTTCTTTCCCTTGTATTATAGAATGGGAAGCCACGAGTGTAAATACTTTTTGAAGGAGCTCAAAAATGTACCAAACATTTCATTTCTACAAGCAGATGGATTGGCAGATAATAAGTTTACTTTTTTATTTTCCTATCTGTTGCAGTTTTTGTATTCTTTCTTTTTAAAAGGTGGTATTAAACATGCTTAGAAATTAAAGAAGGCAAGAGAACTCATCCTTTAAAGTCTGAGAATGTCAAGTTTCAGGGTAAAGTTGATGGAAAATTATAGGTTTGCCCTACCACTACCATAAAAATCAATTCAATTTTGATTTCAATCTTAAATATTAAAGAGATAAAAGTAAATAATTTAACACAGATTCAGAACATTTGTGTAAACTATTACAATGCTTTTGTAAATACAATCACAGAATAAGTCATCACTATTTGTTGAATGTGAATTAACAAGAATAATAATTATCTGAGATAAAATGTAATTGAGAGTTTTCAATGTGCATGATTCAGCTAAAACAAGTTTTGCATTTATTCTTCGTAATTGCACACAATTCTGTGAGGTAGGAGCTATCATTACCTCTTGTTTAATACATAAAGAAAAAAGCAGAGAGGTGGTATTTTTGCCTGCTTCCATAAGTAATTGACAGAGATAGACTAGGAATCCAGACACTCTGAAAACCTACACTCTTGAAGTTGGCACTAAAGATACTATACTGATTTAGGGTCTGAAAACAGTTCCTACCCCTCCTTCCTCATGTCAAGTGACACTTTTTTAGATTGTGCGTTCCTTTGCAGGCCTTCAACTCCCCTGCTCCTTGGATGCATCCCTGCTAGAAATCTATACCTTAATCTTCCCAACACTGCTGTTTCCTTTTCAAATTTAAAAATCAAATTCTGATGCCTCAAAAATCTTTACAAATGAATCTGATGCAACTTGTTAGGGTACACTCGGAGAGATTCTTGGAAATATTGTTGAAGACTTTCATATAATTCTGAAACAGATTGGTTTATTTCTCATCAGCAAGCAAAAGATCTGCTGTATGACCACAGAGTTTCAGTTAGATAATCTCCCTCTGAATGTGAAGATTCCTACTCGTCATAAGAAATATTTTCTTCAAAGGAAGAAAAAGAAGAGCTTTTGAAAATAACTCGGCTGGAATCTAAATGATATGAGGATTATTCTGGCTGGGGGACAACCTGGTCACTCTGCCCTTGTTTTAAAACAGGATTAGAGGAGATGAAAGCATAGTGTCATTCCTCTGAGCGACTGATGTAGAGGAATTTTTAAGTACCTCCGCAGATTGTGTTTCTTTCATTTTACTTTTTTCACTCCTAATTACAGAAACTAGAAAGTAATACAGAAAGTCATGAATCTACAGCATTTGCATCCTATTTTCTTATCCTACTTCCTGGTATGGTTGTTGTGGTACACTTTTATATCATAGATACTACGTACAATGTTTCACATGGCTCAGTTGAGTTTGTATTACTTTTCTCATGCTCTGTTTCTCTATAAGTCATTTCTGGGCTCTTTTTGAAGAAATGGAATTAATTCTTTTTTTTGCACTTTTGTTTTTCACGGTAACCATTTTCCACAATCACCAACCTCTTTATCCAATATTAGTATTTGTTATCTTGTTTGTGTTTTTACCTTTCATCCGTTAGTGAGCTAGGAAGACACTTTGTTTTTTAATGTTTTTTGTAGGCAGCAACTGGAAAATTTGTTATTACTGTAAGGAAAATATCTAGGTAAAATTCAGTAAATAAATTTTGGCAACAGAAATAATGATCATACACAACTGTTTTTTTTTATTCATATGTCACAACTGTTAACATACATAACATTTACCTTGGTTTTTCACTATTAATACATATTTATCTGCCACCAAACTGGTAACATTTATAATGGTAAGTTTTAAAGCGATACTACTTATCATAATATATGCATTACATGGTTTATTTAGAGCAACAGCTTGCAGTACTTTTGACTATGTAGGATCTTTTCAAAGTAACATTACTTAATAAATTTTAAAGCTTCACTTTATTCCTTCTCTAGGAAAGGAAAGTAGGTTTTACTTGAAAGTATTTAAGTTACTTAAGAATACTTTTCAAAAAATGTAGACTTACCTTTCAATGTAGATTCTGTGGCAATAGAGATAGTTTTTATCATTGTTTACACTTCAGGTGTTAGCCTTACGCTCATGCTTTGCTCACTGTATTCTAATTTTGCTGTCAGGTAAAAAAAAAAAAGAAAGGTGAAGTGGCAAGAATGTTCTCTAACATGCTTGACTATCTCACTAGTCAATTGAGTGACATTGTCTGAATTCTAGTTAATTGAGACTTGCGACTGAATTTTTTTATTATCTTCCATTGCTTTGCCTTTCCTCTCCTCCAGAGCTTTCTACTCAGTCCTTATCAGGCTAGGCAGTAAGAAAGACTGTCTCCTAATATAAAGTTAACTGTGTTATGTTCAAAACACATGAAAGGAGTTCACTTTCCCTCTGGTGATAATTCCTACAGAACAAATAAAGAAAAAAGATTAAAGATAATCTATAGAATTTTCTATAAAAAATTTGTGCTATTCACTTTACACTTCTGAATTATTTTTCAAGTAAATATCCATGATATTTATCCTGGATAATTATAAAAATTAAACAAAATGAGACTCAGTGAGTACATATATATTAAACAAAGTATGTGTTTAAGTAAAATTAAAAGGCTAAGTGTACTTTAAGCTTATTAAAGTATTTAATTGTAACATCTGTACATTAAGGGTCTGTTGAGTCCACAGTGGTTGGTAGAAGATGATTGAACACTGGGAATAAGGTTATCTATAGTTTACATTCTACTGGAAATATAATTTGTATTGCAACATCTGAGTAGAACAAAAATAATTAGAAAGACAAAATGGACACAAAAGAGAAGTACAAAGAATTATATAAGCTCATGAGGATACCACGTATACCTGTAAGTATTATTCATAACATGGTCTCTGATTATTTGACCTAATTGAATTTTGGATATCTTATAATCTGAAGCTTTCTTGAACATAGGGGGAAACTGAGACCCCAAATGATTGTCTTACTTTCTAAAGTCACAGAACAAATTGTCGTCAGACCTTTACTAGACACCTGATGTCTCAGTTGCTATCCAGTGACAGTTCTATGAACATAAACAATTTAAGTCTAACAATATACTTTTTACTTTTTCTTCCCAATAGGAAGACCCGCCTGTATCTGTGCACTAGGGTTTACTGGGCCAAACTGTGGTAAGACAGTGTGTGAGGATTTTTGTCAAAATGGAGGGACCTGCATTGTGACTGCTGGGAACCAGCCGTACTGCCACTGCCTGGCTGACTACACTGGAGACCGATGTCAGTACTGTAAGTGAAAACAACTTCCAAAAGGTGCTTTGGACCAGGAACTAGAGAAAAGGTTAGATCAAGAAGAATTAACCTAGAAGGTAACACACACGCACAGGAAATCAATGTGAGTCAATGCCCTGTATAGCTATCCTTATCTCAACTAGCAAAAACCCTTGGTCCTTCCTATTATTGTTTATACTCTCTCTTCAACAAAATTAGAGATAAGGGCAAAATAGTTTCTGCCGGGTATCGAGGGGGTGGGGAAGAGAGGGAGGGGGTGGGGTGGGTGGTTAGGGACGGGGGAGGGGGAGGGGGGAGAAATGACCCAAGCATTGTATGCACATATGAATAAAAAAGAAAGGTGCTTTGGCAGCATGGTTTGATGTTTACATTAAGTAATCTTATAACCTCTATCTATACTACTACTATTATCTTAATTTCAGAAACTACTATTTTTCAGGTTCAGTCCCTCTGTCAATTGAACTCAAATAACTATTTGCATTGTTCCTCATCCTTTCCTTAAATGTTTTATCCTTCTCCTCCAGCCAAGGTCCCGTGGCCTGTTATTATAATCATTTCCTACTATAAATGCTCAACACCCTGGTTCTTTCTTTTCCTCTATTGTATTCTCCTTGAAAACCACAGCCATGGCTGCTGCACTCAGTGCTCCATCTCTCCTGAAATGGCATTGACGGCATACATGAGTGCAGCTGAAGGTTTACACATCATCATTTCTGGTGGACTCCTCTGAACTTTCATTACTAGTCACAGATGGATATTTACGATAGCTTTTACTGTATCATAATCTATCGCGTCTGTTCTCCTTTCTTCTCAAACCTCCAACACCTTTTCTCCAATCTTACTTCCTATTGAAAAACCTACTTTTCAGTTTCATTGGTAAAGATAGAATCAACCTACATAGATCTGCTTCAAGCTCCTACCATCACATTCTTCAAGCTACTTTATCTGATGTCCATATATTTGTCTTCTTGTTTATCAGTAGGAATCCCTGGCTATGTCTAATCCTACTTTATCCACTCAAATCCTGATCCTTCAGTAGCTCATGGACATAACTACTGCAATTGTCCCCCTTTCTCCTGTTTCATAAAGATTTTCCTCCTTACCAAGGTCTTTAAAAAAAAATACTTGTTTTCATCCATGTGTATTTCTACTTACAACTTCATTTCTTGCTTTCACTTCTTCCTTCTCTCTTTTATTTAATAGTAGCATTATTTTAAAGTATTACCCTCTGCAATTCCTGTTTCTTATTTTCCTTTGACACCACCTCTGTCAAAGTTTTGTCTTTACTCTTCTTATGAAAATTAAGTTGATTGATTGTGCTTGTATCTTGTATGCTGCTGTCTCCAGTGTGGTTATTTCGTAATTCATAGTTTACATCTACTTTCAGAAAATAGTCTTTGTTTCTTAAAATATTTTCTTTTCTTGCTTTTATAGACATCATTCTCTCCTGTTTTCATTTCCATATTTTTTGTTGCTTCTTCACAGTATCATTTGCTAGTTTCTTTTTATCACCCTGGAGATAAAATTTTTTATTCCAATTTTAAACAATGAACAACTGACAACTCTGTCATCACATTTTCTTCTTCTCTATAACACCCACTCCTTAAGTTAATAATTCTTACACACTCTGTGCATTTTAGAATTAACTCTTTGGTTTGTTAAAAATAGAGTTTCCTAGAAATCCTCTACAATTATTCTGGGCCCACTTTCTTTCATTGAGTATCTGTATTATTTAAGAATTTACACTGGTTCCTTATCCCCTTCTCATGTTGACCTCTGTCGCTTTAAGTTTGCTATATTAGTTCCTCTGGAGTGGGGACATCAAACTCTTTCATGTTTTGGGTTTTCTACCTATTCCCATACGCTCTGTATGTACTCTCCCCTTGTCATGTGATCCAAGTCCAACAACATTGCTGCATTTGATCTTGATCTAAAGTCCACAGATGAGGGAGAACATATGATTTTTTGGTCTTCTGAGCCTTGTTAACCTCTCTCAGAATAATGTTCTCCAGTTCCATCCATTTACTTGAGAATAATAAGATTTCATGCTTCTTCATGGCTGAGTAAAATTCCATTGTGTATAAATACCACATTTTCTTGATCCATTGGTTAGTAGTGGGGCATCTTGGTTGTTTCCATAACTTGGCTATTGTGAATAGTGCTGCAATAAACATGGGTGTGCAGGTGCCTTTGGAGTAACCTGTGTTGCATTCCTTTGGATATATCCCCAGGAGTAAGATTAATGTATCATATAGCACATCTATGTTTAGATCAGTTAGAGATGAATCAACATGGGTTGTAACACATTTGTACATAAAAGCAATGCTAGGAATCTCTATGTATAGCTATCCTTAACTCAACTAGCAAAAATGCTTTGTCTTCCTTATTATGCTTTTATATCTTCTCTTCAACAAAATTAGAGATAAGGGTAAGATAGGTTCTGCCTGAAAGTGAGAGTGAGGGGAGAGGGGACAGGGGGGAGAAATGAATAATAAAAATAAAATAATAATAATAATAATAAAAGAATTTATAGATGGTTCATATATGCATGCAAGGTTGGTACCCACTTCCCAGGTAGTTTCACCAAATTGTTTGGTTTTTAATATCATCCAAATTAATGATTCTGATTTTATCTGCAGCTGAACCTGTCCCCTGAATTTCAGATTTTTATACTTATTTTGCTTCTGTAACAGCTTGATTTACCTCTAAATTAACCTGATTTTTTTCACCTCAAAATTCTTATACCATGATCTTTGACTCTTTACTGACTTCTGTCTGCCTTTCATAACCTGCCATCACCTATGAAATAGGCTTAGAATCTGAACACCTGTTACTGTCTCCATCTTCAACGTCTTCATCAAGCTACCAGGACCTCTTGTATACATTGTCATTAATAAAGCTCCATGCTTTCTCACTTGGCCTTTAGTATGTGTCTTAAAAAGAGCAGTTTATCTATAAAAAAATTGTTCTCCATCTTATTCACATTTATTGAAATATTTATGTTTTTATTTTTGGTGGTATTGGGGTTTGAACTCATGGCCTTATGCTTGCTAGGCAGGCACTCTAGCACTTGAGCAATTCCACCAGCCTTTACTGACATATTTATATATCTAAATCTGATAATACCTCATTTTCCTTCTTTTGTTCTATGAATTCATTTAATCCTACCAATGTATTAGATATTATTTATATTCTCATTTATAGACTCCAATACCAAGGAAATCTAAATAGCCTTCTGAATATTGCCCAGTTAGTAATCGTGAAAGCCAAGATTCAAACCCAGGCAATCCAGTTTAGACCTCACAGCCTTTTTTTGTTTATTTGTTTTTGCAGACTGGGATTTGAACTCAGGGCCGATACCTTGAGCCACTCCACCAGTCCTTTTTCGCGATGGGTTTTTTTCAAGATATGGTCTCATGAACTATTCATCCCAGTGGCCTTGAAGAGAGATCCTCCTGATCTCTGCCTCCTGAGTGGCTAGAATTACAGGTGTGAGCCACTGGTTCTTGGCTACAACCTTTACATTTTTGTCTGTAGATCATTTGGTATCACTGGTCCTTGTAGCAAATACATGGAATAGATCAGAATCAGGCTGTGTGAACACAGTTATTTCAGAATTAAGCATAATAATAAATATCTAGCCTCTGATCGTACACGTGGCCACTTTTGCTGTAGCAATAGAACAGATTTAAATTTGAATTTTTATTTCTTTTCCAAAAGTTCATTCTTCACATATGGAGTCAACCCTAAGCCTGATGCTCCTTTTCATATTACTTGTCCAATTTACCTCATAAATAAAGTGCATCAGAGGGCAGCAGTTTTATAAAAATACATTCCAGTTATACTCGTGTATCCTTTCTTACATGCTTCCTCACATCTTCATCTCACTCCTGTCAACACAACAGAGGATTGATTCCAACATAACTTGCTGCTAATTCACTAGTTTGTATTTTTCTTCTCTGCTTCATTACTATCACGACCTCTATGGACTTCCACGCAAATACACAAAAGTGCCTATCATACCACATAATGAAGATCCTGTTTCTATGCATCTTAAGTTTATAACCTCTCTTTTATTCTGGTAAGACCACACTCATCACCATTCTCCATATGGATGATGCCAATTTCCTTGGCATTGAACTATCCAGCCATTTCCCTTTTGAGATTGTTCTGTCCTCTCTCCCTTTGAATTAACCTCTCACTTCTCTGATTTCCAAGTAGATGTTTTTATATCTCTCTTAAGGGTCGAATCACTGTTACCTTGTATTTTTGTTAATTGTACATTCCTTCTTTATGGAGCCTCTTTGAATTGAACCTTCTAGTGGAAACTGTTGAAAAAACAAATGAGCAATTACACAAATAAATAAAGTGGTTTAAAGAAAATTAATGAAACTATTTAATTTCAATAGCTACCATCTGGTATATATTTATGGTTAATCTAGAGCTAGTGCTTGCTTTTTCATATTCTATTTCCCAGTTGTCACATAATCATAGAACCAGTTCTTATTGTTTTGTGGTTTTTTTAGTTAAATAATCACATTCTTGATTGTCTTTGAACTAACTTAAAAATACCAAAGAACCATCATTATAGAAATTTATATTCTTTAAAAGAATAAATTGAGTTAGCTTATATTTTAATTCAAAACTTAATAGAATCACAGTTTGAGGTACCCCGATGCTTTATAAAAGGCTGCATTATAATTTTATTATCACTATTAGCAGTCAGAGCACTTTCCACCTTTTATTGCCAAGCACTTATTAAAATTAACCAATTAATCCTTAGACAGAGGTTAAATAACTTGCTCAAGGTCCTGAAGTAGTGATATTATAGTCAGAATTGGATCCCAGGAGTTGTTGATCAAGATGTCAACAAACATTCCTGCAATATGGAGATGCTGTTCTTTGGCAGCATAATAATTTTGTGGACAGTATATCATTAAAATGATAAATCCAACAGCTGACAAAAGCATAATAAATTTAGAATCTATTAGATGTGA